TGTTGAACGCCATACGAAAACTTATAAAGTAAGCTGTTATTCTGTAACCATTATAACGTTATTGAATAACTGAGAACAGTTATTGGACATCTGTGTCCGACTTACTGTGAGGCGTGTCAACTACTATAGTTGCTGAAGAACGATTCGCTTTAAGATATTACGCCCAAAGATTCCGTTCTATCTTCATCGCCGCACCAAATTCAAACATTGTTTGCAAATGTAATATCGACATGTTTCTCCTCGAACCCGAAAGATTTGTAGAGGAAATATAGGGGCGACATGTCTGGGCATGTGTTATTGAACACAATTCGTTGTCGAAGTTTTATTTATAATGCAATGTCTCATTATGATCGAAAATATGTGTTTATAAGGGGCAAATAAGGGCCTGAACAACTGTATGATTCTTATTTATTGAGCAAAACAGTTCGTTAAAATGTTTCGCAATTTAATTTATGCATTCAATAGTGTAGCGTAGCGGATAGCGTACGTAACGAAATGCACATTCTGCCTAAAAATTACCACTAAACATGCGAATAAACGATTCACCAATTTGCCACATCCCCAACAGCGCAATCGCGAAGATTCTACAGATATGCAAATTGATAGTTTGGGGCGAATACACAATGGCCCACAAGAGGTCGCTGGAAGCATTGGACAGGACTTTAAAAAATTAACGTGGTAACCAAAACTTTTTTGATGGAGCCATGATTCTAGTTTCAGGTGATTTTCGCTACATTCTTCCAGTTGTGCCTCGATCAACTTTTGCTGACGATCTAAATGCATAATCTTATTTGTGGCGGCACGTAAAGAAACTCCAATTAACAGCTAATATGCGAGTGTTTTTGCAACAGGATGAAGATACGATTGCGTTTTCGAAACAGTTGCCAGATATTGGAAATGGTAAAATCGCAGTTCACATCCCGACTGGAATAATACCATTTCCCTCAGATTTCTGTCATTTTACAGACTCGAAAGAGGAGGTTATTCAGCGTATTTTTCCGGACATGAAACAATAATATAATGAGTGAACGAACAATATTGGAGGCAAAAAACGAGCGATGTCGATGATCTCAATGCGACAATTTAGAATTTCTTTCCAAGAGAGTTGTTTACTTACAAATCAATTGACACAACTACAATCCAGGATGACGTAGTCAACTATCCCACAGAATTTGTAAATTCATTAGATCTGTTTGGACTACACCATATAATTTGCAATTTAAAGTAGGATCAGTTGTCATCATTCTGCGTAATATAAATCAACCTCGAATTTGCAATGGAACGAAATTGGCTGTGAAGAAGCTAATGAATAACGTCATTGAAGCCAAGATCACTAAGGGGAAATACAAAAGAGATGATGACTTGATCCCGAATATACCGATGCTTTCAACGGATTTTACATTTGATTTTAAGCGGTCACAATTTCCAGTGTGTCTGACTTTTGTAATGACCAGTCGTTGCAAGTTTGCGGAATCAGCTTGGAGTTTCCCTATTTTCGCATGGTTGCGTTGTTGTTGTTGTTGTAACGATTATCTAATCCCCGTTTGGGTGATAAATTCTAGATTCGTTGTCATCGAGGTCATCTAACGGAAGGCCCAGGAAACGAGCTGTTTCGACGGGGTCGGACCATAGGGAGAGGGGTGTTAGATGAGTGGGGTTTGTTGGGCATGCAAAGAGGTGGTTAGTGTCATGCGGAGACTCATTGCATGTTCGGTGTCGGCAATCCATCATCAAAATATATGTATATATGTAACATATCATCAATTCATAACTTTTTAATTTATTCATTTGATACAAACTTAAATATAAGATTAATAAAATACAAAATTTAACATTTTATGTTGATTTGCACTAAATACAGATCTACAAAAATGTGTATCAATCATTTTCAAATTTAACGGCTATAACATTTTCGTCTTTAAGCATCAGAATATTTCCACTGTATTGAAAAATTTGCTATAATATAATTTAATGTATACCTTAGCCACAAAAACACGTGGCCTGGTCGTCTAGTATTGGATATGCTATAGTTCAATGCCTACAATGCATGAATTTAGCCTACGAATTACCTCTACTCCCATATACTACACACAATGTTTTTATCATAATCATATTTTATTCTAACAAATTTTATGCCGATTACGTTGGCAGTGTGTGACTCATATGTTTATAAAATTGCTTACAAATATGATTTCGAGAATACCTGAGCAATGTCAAATAATAAGGTGATCAGTCCATCATTTTCTCTGCCGCAAATATCCTATATATTAAAATGAAACGATATTATTATTCGTTATTTACTCGCAGAACGTCCGAACCAGACACGGAAAGACGTGAACATTTGTAACTGGGGCTTTTTTGCAAAAGCACCGTAAATTTTTCAATTACGCTCGATGAAAGTTAAACAAAACATTACAACTAAAGCCATTTTAGTAAAATTTAGCACACTGTGTCCAGTTTCATAAAATATAAGATAGTTTCTATCCTAATTATGTTAAACGTCAAAACATATCATAATGTCACAAATTATGAAATTATTTCATAACAAAAGCATATGTTCATGAATCCAAAAATAACAATAATATTAATAAAATAAAAATTATAACCGAACATTTTATACTCTCGCAAAGTCAAATGGTATACTCGTTTTAGATTTCTTTGTGGATCTTGCCGCCTTGTTCTATGTTGACCGATATTTTCGGTAAAAAACCAACTATAGGCACTGGGGTCCACATATTCAGTACCTAGGGGCTTGAACAGTTTTGGTTCAATTTAGATAATTTTTGGTCACAAGGTGGCATACGTCAAACGTATTTATTACGCCGATATAATCATTTCTGCTTGATTTGCATAGTGGAAAGTGAAAGAATCAGGTGGAATTTAAAATGGTGTTATATGGGAAATAGGCGTAGTTGTAATCCGATTCCGCCAATTTTCGCACTATAACATCGAAATATGAGAAGAATCTTATGTATTGAATTTGGTTGAAATCGGTTAAGCAGATCTCAAGATATGGGGTTTTACCTAAAAGTTTGCGGTGCCACGCCCACTATCTAATTTTGAACGTGGTTCCTATAAAATCATCTTATACCAACTCAGATATAAAATTTAATGTCTCTGGCTTGTTTAGTGCTTGATTTATCGCGCTTTTAGTAGTTTTTAACAGTACCGTTATATGGGGAGTGGGCGGGGTTGTCAAGATACCGCCCACTTTTAGGTGAAAACCCATACCTTGGGTTCAGCTTAACCGATTTCAACCAAATTCGATACATAAGATTCTTCTCATATTTCGATGTTATAGTGCGAAAATTGGCGGAATCGGATTACAACTACGCCTATTTCCCATATAACACCATTTTAAATTCCACCTGATTCTTTCACTTTCCACTATGCAAATCGAGCAACAATGATTGTATCGGGATTAAACTTTGCGTAAATAATGCGTTTAAAGTATGCCACCTTCAGAACAAAAAATTTCTAAATCGAACTAAAATTGTTCAAGCCCCTAGATACTGGATATGTGAACCCCAGTGTCTATAGTTGACTTTTTACCGAAAACATCAGTCAATGTGTAAGATATATAATTTAAATTCATATAATAAAATAAAATGGGTGAAATCGGAGCAGTACTTTCTTTAATACAAAATTTTGCCAACACCTGAAGTAATTTCCCGGGCTTTGATCCTTTCAAGTTGCGAGAGTATAAAATGTTCAGTTACACCCGAACTTAGAACTTCCTTACTTGTTTTTTTTATTTTTCACCAAAAATTATTCATATTTTAAAATAACGTTTCCCGGAAGAAATGTAACAACTCAACATGGAGAAAAAAAATGAATCATTAGTACTCAGGAACATTGATAAAATTTGGTGAATATGTGAAAATACTTTCTATCCTTTTGTACACTGTATACCCTATATGTGTCGGTCATTGTCGAAGTGGTGTAACTCCATAATATAAAAATTGTATTTCTTTTTCGTAGTGGGCTAACAATTTATCGTACAGAGTGGCGCACGATTTGTGCTACAAAAACAAATCGTAATAACTTTTTTTTTAATCAATGCATTAGATTTATATGAATTATTATTTTATATAATCAATTATTTAATTATTAATTATTATTTAAAAATTATCACGATTGTTTCTTGAACACGAGCTCGATCTCGATGGTACGGTCTTCTTGCGATACTTCCATATTCGGCAAACATGTTTACCAACATCAAATGGTGCATCTATTTGGAGAAGTGCCGCCAAAGTCCCGTCTGAATTCCCTTTGGACGGAAATGAGGGGGCGCAAAGCATGGTACCGCTGCACTATCCAAACCCTTTTTTCGGTATCCCGAGCGTTCATTTTTAAAAAACTTAAATAATAACCTGATAAATAGAAAAACGTTAATCGATTACTCACACCAAAAAAAATGATTACGGTGTTTTTTTGTAGCACTATTCGTGCGCCCCCCTGTATCCTTCGTCGCTAATAGTTTAATCGAGGAACATACTGGTACCATTACCGCTATAAGAGTGAAGTAAGTCCAGAGTTGCTTCAGTTTTAATTACAAGGAGGTAGTTCACTATTTCAATGAACGACGCATATATCGGACAGTATACAATAATAATAAAATTAGGTGAGAGTCCTTAATTTATTACCACATGATTGAGTGGAAATTACTTTAACTTCCCATGTCCTCCATAAGGTCGATTTTACTTTCCTTTGATTCTTGCAACTTTTCTCAGTTTTGTATTGATATTTTATTGCCCTCACACAGTTTTGTTTTGTAGAAATTTTGACAGCATACAATCTGAGCCCTTCATTACTTACCTTAAACTTCTTTGTAAATAAAATATAAAAATCTGCATATCATAATATAAATAACATACAGCAATAACTCAAACAAAAATCTGTGTGAACTACAATACCAACGCAATATCAGGCGATAGGTGCAACCACATTGCACATGTTATTACTAAAAATATTTTTAGAATATGATGAACTTAACGCACCTGTATAGGAGATGAATAATTTTTTCGTAGAGTTTGCGCGGAAGGTGAATTTGATCTAGCTTGGACGTGAGAATGTCCCTGAATAAACTGCTGCTTTTGATGTTGTTTGTGAATGATCAATGGAGGTGTGGAGCCTGTAACTGAACCAGCACAATCTGAGCGATTGGAGCCCGTAACTGTAGATGGTTTTATTACACCTGTGGAATTAGACGCATTTGGTGGTGCTGATGGCAAAAATAAAGCTGTTTGAGGTGCATTCAAGTGTGGTTGAGATGGTAACTTTGGTTGTGTTTTCTGGTCATGAGTTTGATCAACAGTTTTAACGCAATGGACATTTGCGGAACCTGTTACAGTTGCTGATTGCCCTGGATTTGCCTTCTGGATGGTGTTCTGATTGCAGGAGCTCATATTCAACAAAAGACCGTCTATTTGTGGTAAGGGTGCGTTGCAATTTTTATCAACCTAATATAAAATCCAAGCTTTAGACAGATAGTCTTAAAAAAACAATAGCAGAAAATTTTGAATTTTAAATACCTTTTCCTTTCCATTTATCGGATCTGTTGAAGCAAGTAATGCTGTGTCGACATCATTACGGTGTCGTGGCTAAAATTTATTGAAAATATTGCATATATGCTTTAGCACAAAACAAAATTCTTACATATTCAGTCCCGCTAACATTTGATGCAGCAACTGTCATCTGCGTAGTATTTCCATGTGCATAATCGTTTTTACCCAGTATTTGAACAGTATTTGTTGTTTGACTAGTAGTTGCATTAACAGTATCTATCTTTTCCCAATCATAAGGATCAGAATCTTTTACTCCTCGACGTTTCATACAACGCTCGAATAACCCGATCAACATCTGTTAAACGAAAAATAATTATTTAAAATTACCAAACTCACAAATTTAGACCTTGGCATAAGTATATAATAATTTTTTTTAGAGTAGATTCTCAAAACTCCATCGTATATTTCGTATTAAATTATCATAATTTCATATAATTTTGCAAGTTTTTAAATTACTTAATAGAGTAAATTGATACAAATGTATTAACAATACATTTCTTTCTAAATAAAAATTAAGAAAGCTTGATTATTGTAAATACTTACTGCATAATCGGGGCGATCGGCGTAAGCAAGCGATTGTATATGTTCCAAAAATTGTTTTAAATCAGAAGGCAAGTGTTTTAGTAAAATACGGTGATCATACTTCTCTTTCGTAAAGCCTACTTGCTCCTTATCTTTAATTTTACGCCACGGTAATTGGCCGTTCACGAACTCAACTAACATGTAAAATAAGGACCACAAATCATCATGACGTCCCATTTCACGATTTCGATGCGCATTTATAGATGCATATCGTACAGTGCCCCGGAATCCAGCCGCGGCACGGGGACAACGGACTTCTCCTGTTCCTGTGGTATACTGACGAGCAAGCCCAAAATCCAACATATATACCCGACGACAATTGTAAGGTAAACGTCCAATAGAAAAGTTGCTCTGAAAATACCGTTACTAATTTATATGCAGAAATTTAACTAATTCATATCTTAAACGAATAAAATAAAAAAATTCGATCCCAACCAAACTTTATATATCCTGGTAAATTGAATATTTACAGTGAGAAAGGGCCTCTCCTTAGTACAAAATTATATAGTAATAGAACAATATTTCAACAACTTTTCTTAAAACATCACATTAACATTGCATGTTAAACAAAAACCAAACAGCATTGACAATGAAAAATTTGCACACTGTTCAATGAGGGAATTTGGAGAATGGCGCCAAGGTTTCCACTTTCTTTTCTTTTGGAAATTAAACATGAAATATAAATAATTTGTTGACCTAGATATATTAAGGGAAGCAGTGTTGGAAATTCCAATCAAAAATCACGTGTTTCTAGAAACAACATTTGCAGAAAGTTTGTTATGATTTCACAATTTCTACCTAACCTGTATACTTGAAATTTAGTGCGAACCTCTCTGTCTCTGTCACTATTGTACCAACTATCATTTTTTTGTTAAAACATGAATAAAATTATCTTGTTAAAAAAATTAATAATGAAAATCGGTTTCGTTACCTATTTATAGCAAAAGCTCCTTAAATGCGTATCTCCAGACTAGAAAATCGCCTCAAGTTCTTTTACTTAGTATCGAAATGATCTCCCTAATGAAACTCTGGGTATGCATGTAGTATTATTTAAAAGCTAGGATAAGGCGTCGCAACAAATGAAATATTGTTAGTTGCATAGATAATTTATATATACATACTACATTGTGCAGCACACAGAGTTCTAATTAGAGTGTTGCCGTGTTAAGAGAAATTGAGACATAAGCAAGAAGTTGTAAGCTCGAATAATGAGCAATAAGTGTTAAGTTGTGGGAATAAGAAATAAAGATAAGTGTATAGCCATTAAATTTAACAATCCAGTGATCGAACTCAAGAGTGAGTTACAAGGTAGACGATTTATCGAGAAATATGTTACAATATATTTTAACTTCACATCTAGTGTTCACGAGTCTTTTCAATTACCTATTACCACCGCAAATGAAAAAAAGACACTTGGGAGTTTTAAAATATTAAAGTGTATTATTTTGAAAATTTAATATTAAGATATTATATAATATCTTTAATTACCAGAAAGTAATTCACAAAATTGTAAATGTTGTACCGCTATGGAAAAATAAAATGGAACCGAAGACACATTCAGAATAATGCACATTGCAAAAGAATATGTATTATGAAGTCTTCGAAGGCAATAAGTCCGGCAAGTTATTAAAATGCCAACTATAAATACACATGTATATCCTAAATACCGATTAATAACAACGCGATTCTTCCCAATTAGATATACCTACTCTCCCCCTTAGTATTTACTTAAAAATATAAGGTTTCAACAAACATGTAGAAGAATAATATTTTTTCTGGCGAAAATGTATAGTTTTGACGAACCTAGCTGCTGAAAAAAGCATTTGCGATTAGGGTCTCACAGTAACGACTAACATTTGTTGCAAAGCATATGGTATATATACTTGTAGTCTTTTCCTAAGAAAGAGTTTCTTTTAAATAAGTTTAAATTAAATACAATGAAACAAACAAAAAAATTACACCTTTTTTTACACTGTTTTTGCATACTGCGAGCAATATCCTAGAAAATGTTACATAGTTAATTGAGAAACAACAGCGTTCTCAAACAAAGCGATATTAAATTCTTCAATTAAAAAAATACAAGTTGAATTCTTTGTACTTTGTAAAGAGGTTGTTATTTCAAATTGTAAACAAAAAAAAACGTTAACTTCGGTTGCATCTACTTTAAACGAGCGGGCTAGAGAGAATGCATTACGCGTCTTCATATTTGCTCTTCGAAGACCGCCATGTGATATCTTACTCTCCGCTAGACCTAAGGATTTTCTATCAGACCTGGCAGTTGCACAAGAGCCTCAAACTAGTCATAAGCGTTATGAGTTCGCTTTTGCATTGTGTATCGCAAATAAGCCTCATCGATCAAGACTATTTTTGCGCCAATACCAATCGACAGGACCCAAAAACCAGAATTTAAATATACAAACCCCAATGGAAATCGATAATGGTTCAAGTTTGTATAGGCAACGTTATAATTTTTATACTCTCGCAACCTGTTGCTACAGAGTATGATAGTTTTGTTCACCTAACGGTTGTTTGTATCACCTAAAACTAAACGAGTTAGATATAGGGTTATATATATATAAATGATCAGGATGAAGACGCGAGTGGAAATCCGGGTGACTGTCTGTCCGTCCGTCCGTCCGTCCGTGCAAGCTCTAACTTGAGTAAAAATTGAGATATCTTTATGAAACTTGGTAGACATGTTTCTTGGTACCGTGAGACGGTTGGTATTGCAGATAGGCGTAATCGGACCACTGCCACGCCCACAAAACGCCATTAATCAAAAACAAATAACTTACCATAACTAAGCTCCGCAATAAGATACAAGACTGTTATTTGGTACACAGGATCACATTAGGGAGGGGCATCTGCAGTTAAAACTTTTTTTAAAAAGTGGGCGTGGTCCCGCCTCTAATAGGTTTAATGTGCATATCTCCTAAACCGCTAATGCTACAATAACAAAATTCACTAGAAGCAAATGTTTCTATTTACGCTGTGAAAATAGTTGAAATCGGGTGGCAACTCCGCCCACTCCCCATATAACGGTACTGTTAAAAACTACTAAAAGCGCGATAAATCAAGCACTAAACACGCCAGAGACATTAAATCTTATCTCTGAGATGGTATAAATTGGCTTTATAGGAACCGCGTTCAAAATTAGTCAGTGGGCGTGGCACAGCCCACTTTTAGGTGAAAACCCATATCTTGAGATCTGCTCAACCGATTTCAACCAAATTCGGTGCATATCGTTCTATTCATGTTTCTATGTAATAGTGCGAAAATGGGCGAAATCGGACTACAATCACGCTTACTTCCCATGTAACACCATTTTCAATGCCATCTGATTCTTTCACTTTCCACTATGCAAATCAGGTAACAATGACTATATCGGGGTAAAACTTTGCGTGAATAATGCAATTAAAGTATGCCACCCTGCGGCCAAAAATTGTCTAAATCGAACCAAAACTGTTCAAACCCCTAAGTACTAAATATGTGGACCCCAGTGCCTATAGTTGACCTTCTACCGAAAATATCAGTCAATCCACAAAGAAATCTCAAACGAGTATACCATTTGACTTTGCGAGAGTATAAAATGTTCGGTTACATCCGAACTTAGCCCTTCCTTACTTGTTTAAATGCCGTTTTTCCACAGCAGCATTTTACCCTAAATAAACCTTAGAATCACAAAATCCAAATTATACTCCGCCATTGCCATTCAAACGTAGTAATAATCGATTATTATCTGACTGGTTGCCGTTGTATAACATACAGAAGGTTAATTTTATGCCAGAAGTACAATTATCTTCGAATGATTATAAATGAATTTGATGTCATAATATCAGATTGTGAGGTAGAAATCAATTATTTAAACTAAAATCGCTAATGCTGTTCATAACAATTAAGGGAAAAATGTTCAGGACCTTCACATTCTAATTGGTAAAGATAAAATATCATTAAAAAAATACCAAATTAACATTTTAGAAAATACGTTTACGTTTAACTTGTTATTAAACCTAAGCACGTTTGACAGTATAATAGGGTACGACTTTTTAAAACAAATTGATGCGAAAATTGACACTGTGGGAGGCTATTTATTTAATCGAAAGGGTAAAGATAAATTACGTTTTATTTCAATTGACCTTGTAAACCTAATTAGATAGAAGAAGATTCAGAGGCAGTTAAATTTTTTAAAAATGGTAATGCCTTGGCTGATCCAGATAGAGCTTTGCCATACATACTAGATTTCAGGCCCGTATCCGTAATCCAATTTAGATATAAAGCTTCACGTTGTATCTAACCTAGGAAGTTTAAAATTGTTTACATCCTTAGACTAAAATCAAGCTTCCACCATACCTTAACGTGCGGGTGAGTCAAAAACAGTATATTTCAAAGAACTATCGACGATGTACTCCGCAAAGTTATAGGGAAATTTTGTCATGTTTATGTCGACATCATTATCATTTATTCCCAAATAAAGAAACTCATTTGAAGCACATCGAGCACATATTGCAAAGCTCGGAAATGCTGGAACACCAGTGTCAGTTAAAATTTTTCAAAACTGATGTACAAATTTTAGGGTTCTTTATTTCCGAAAAAGGCATAAGAACTTGTGTAGATAAGGTCCATGATATCATGACCCCCATAAACTATGCGTTCATTCCATGGTCTGTCCCTCTATTCTTGACGTTTTGTGAAATATTATCCCCTAGTAGTCAAACTTCTAACTCGTTTTCTTCTCGATGAAAACGGAAAAGTACAAAAACTTCGAAACTGAAAAAAATCAATCTTGACGAAGAAGCACAATGCGCCTTTGAAAAGATCAAGCACATATTGGCATCTGAACAGGTTTAACTACAATATCCTGATTATAATCAACCGTTTGAACTCACAACCGATGCCCCGTCGAAGACATTGGACCCAGTTTTGTCACAAAGGGTCACCCATTACTTCCCATAGTGTGAGCATTGCAAACACTTTGTCATTATAAATTCGGAATACACGATATCAAAATTTTTACATTACATAATATTATTAGAATTTAAACAGTAAAGATGACGCAAGCTAAGGAACGTATTACTTATTACATTATATCACCAAAATATCCTAAACAAACAATCATCAAAACAACCTTATCTCTGAATAAACAGAATGTAGCAAAACAAAATACATCAAAACAACCTTATCTTAGAACAAACGAATGTATCTAAACAAACAAACAATATGCTATATATAAACAAACTATAAAGTAGTATTAAGTAAACATACTAGTTGGTATAATTAGCAGTAAGATCTATGTAACAAGTTGGTCTTAAGAATATCAATAAAGAGTATACATTTCAATGCAGCTCAAAAGTATATTTTTTAAGACGCATATCGTGTAAACGATTTTAACTCGGGCGTTCTTTGAGGATTTTTTTTATTATAAGCCCGGAAGCGAAAATAGAGTCTGCTACTTTAAGACAGTCAGGATTTCCGTAAATCAGTTTAAAATTAAACTATTGCTGTCTAGATCAGGCTCAGCAAATAAAGTACAAAGATTGTTTTTTAATAATTGATTATGCACACAATCGCGAACACTTTCGGCGAGTGACGTAAATGAACGTGAATTACTTGCGATAGTGTGTGCATTATTAATACGCAAACCAGGATATCAGAATTTTAACTGCTCACCAGCCGCTAATATTTGCGATATCCATTCCACATTACTCGAAATTATTAGAATACAAACAGCAAAATAAAAAGATGGCGTACGCATATTAAAAAAATTTTCACCTAAGTTTTATAATAAGCCCGCAAGCGAAAATAAACTAGCAGATGCACTTTCAAGACAGTTCTCTTACAATTTAAATGAGGCCGCATCTGTAGAAACGATGCACAGTGAGGTATCATAAAGTAAAGTAATTAAACCGGTCAGGAATACAATAAATCAGTTTAAAAATCAGCTATTGCTATCTAGATCAGGCTCATGCAGTAAAATTACAAAGATTATTTTTCAATAAATGATTAGGCACACAATCACAGTTCAAGATCTCATTCAGTGTTTAAAGTTCGCTACTAACTCTAATGTCACCACCGGAATATATTGTAATCTTCCCACATTGTGTGAAATACAAAATTCAATATTATTAGCTTTTTCTAGCGTTAGTTAATGCACACTGAACTCCTCGTCATAGCTTTAATCGATAAGAATGACAATGGAAACAATAGCAACAGAGCACAATCGGGCCCATCGAGAGTTAAATGAAAACTTTCCGCAAATTTCTCGCGAATACCATTTTTCAAACAGGAAAAATTCACTTAAAATAATGATTAAAAACCGCAAGATATGTTTAGAAAATAAGTACCAACGTAAACCATCTGAACCTTATATGATATATTTATAAGTTCCAAACATTTAATTCCTAACCTGTGTAGACAAATTAACTAAATTTGCTATCGTAAAGACTATTGCATCCAGATCTCTGGTCGCTATTAGAAATGCACTTTTAGAAACTTTGCATTCAAAAACACTAAAACTATCGTTTCCGATAGTGAAAAAGCTCAGAGATAATTTTCCATTAAACAGTTTTTCATAGCAACTCAGCAGCAACTTGATTATATTATTGAATTGGTATTACAACCAACGCGTAAATATAATATATGAACGTACAATTGTAGTATCCATTCCATGATTAAGCCAATTGATGCGTTTCATGAAAGCTCAAGAGAAAGTTTAGAAATTCGTAGGAAAATGTTAGTTGCAGCTCAAGAAAAGACTCTACAAATGTGTAATATAAATAAAATGTTGAGAACTAAAAAGGTTTCTTTAGGCGCAGCAAAAAACTTAGCAACAAATTAAATATATTGGTACTACAGTTCTAATTAATGGGAAAAAGATACGCAAGAGTAATCTTCGATAAAACTTATATAAAAATCATAGCGAAGATAATAAAAACAAGTTGATTAACGAAACGTAAAAACTTTTCACATGTTTTGAATGATCATATTTTCTTTAACATTCTAAGAAGAAGAATTATAAATTTACATCAAATACCTATTGTGTAGCTATATAAGATTTACTGAAATTAATATAATTTAATCTAGTGCATCTGAAAATTGAACGTTAGCAACATCGCCAAAATTCGTCAATCAACAAGAGCATTCTAACTATCAACAAGAGCCTGGTGCAGACTTCGACTCGAGGACGTTCGATCTTAACAACGGGGGTAGTTAACGTAACGTATTTGAAACAATTCAACTTCAGATCAACCCAACTCTTTTTTGATATTACGATTTTCAAGTATTTTCAGTCGATAAAGATTTGACAAACAATTAAGCAACTGAAAATTTTTAAACGAAAAATCAAAACAATGTGATTTAGTTATTGCTCACGAAAAGGTGAATAATTATTAAAATGGACATTAGCTTTTATTTATATTACGATGACAAAAATGTTAGGGCCAAAACTAATGCGCTGCGCATAAGAAAAAGCCTTTGTGATCAGTCAAATCCATTCGAACTTCTTAACTCCAAGTAATTCAAAGTTATATTGACAATAATAATAATGTTTATTCCATATTCATAAGTTATTTCCGTTTAAATGACGAAGCATTTATCACTAAGTGAGATAAAGGAACGCCACAAACCCTCTGTTTCCTTGCTGTCGATAGTTATCAAGCATTAATTTTAAATGACTTTAACTTAAGGTGAAGCAATCTACGATATCTGTTTATGAACACCATATCGGTGAGCTGTGGATAAAACACCAATGACGAGGAGCCAAACGCTGCAAAAATTTAATTTTACTTAAAAAGTATAATCCTAGGAGATTGTATCGACTCTTTATGTTCGAAACACTTTTATTATAATGTTTCCAAATTGTAGCTGGTCTCGTCCAGTTTCTAGATTTTACTGCACGAGCTCAATAAATTTTTCAATTTCTATGGATTTGTACAAAATAACTAATTAAAATAGTTTGAAATTATATATTAAATAGTTCTTTTTACCGATTTACTATTTTCTATTAATATTTTTCCAACATAAATTCATTAATGTTTAACAACAACTGCTTGTTAGCAGTTGAAATGTTTTGATTCTCTAATCAACCCCACTGGACAGGATTGAAAACCGTAATACCAAAAACAGTTGAAGTTTGACATTTTCTTTTTTTGACAGATTGAGTTGAAAACCATAATACATAATTTGGTCGAAAACCACAAAAAATAATTTGTATACATTTTATTGCGTCTGCTATGCTTCCTTTTGGGTGTTAAAATCTTCCGGGCAAACGTACTCTGTTCAGAGTATAAAAATATGTATTTCTTAAAAGTTGCTTTTGATATCAAAGAATTACACAGACTGCGGTTCTAGGGATGAAAATGCTTTTCTTACTACATACGTTTTCATCAGCAATTTACGCAAACTATTGTAATACAGTATCCCCCGGATAATTGCACTTCAAAGATTGCACAATTTTTGGTTCAATTAACCGGGGAATCAATTATGGTAACCGATATTCATTTAATTGAACAATTCGTTCAACTACAGGAAACCCGCTTAATTGGATACCCTAATCAATTATTAAAAAAAAATCATATGTGCACTTTGAGTATTTATTAAAAACTAAATGATATTTAAATAATATTTTTAACTTTAAACAGGATAAATGTAAGGAACGAAAACAAGACAGTGCATTTGTATATTTAGAGATCATTGTTATAAAAAATAAAATAAACTTAAGGTACAAAAATAAAATTCTCACATATTTAGAGAACGTTGTTTACATTTTTAAAATGTTAGTTTATGAAGTCTGTACGTTTTTTTTGTAAATTTTTCAATCAAGGTAAAATAACATGCGATTCTATATTCCCAAATTCACACAAAAACTTGTTATCTGAATAAAAATATGTTTAGAGTAAGTTTTCTCTTATGTATTTTTAAACTTCGAGAACTAACGAAGGCTTTGGAAGTCTGTACTTTTTTTTTGTAAATTGTTCAATCAAGGTAAAATAACATGCGATTCTATATTCCCTAATTCACACAAAAACTTGGTATCTGAATAAAAATATGTTTGAAGTTAGTTTTCTTTTATGTATTTTAAAACTTCGAGAACTGATTTGGAGGATGCCTTGATTGAACAATTTACAAAAAAAAAAAGTACAGACTTCATAAACTAACATTTTAAATCTTTGTTTTGCTCCTCAACATCAGCATTATCCAATAAATCTTTACCAATAAACATATATTTTAAATTGCTTTGCAGAGAGAACAACCGCTGTTTATAACAAATGCTGCGGAATATGTATGTATGTGCGGCAATATTAGATGCTTTTTTTAACGAAAGTTTGTTGAACAATTGACCGGAAGAAATTAAAGGTATATTTTTTTTGAATAACACATATTTTTAGCCAGTTATGCGGAAAAATCAATTAACCGGGTTCGATTAAGCGGGAAAATTAGCACGTATTTTGTACGCAATATATTTTCAACCGATCAAGTGGTTTAAATAAGCGGGAAAATAATTTAACCGAGGATTAATTAAGCGGGGAATACTATAATATGAATAAACTTATATGTATATATTATGACAGACTACGTTTCGATCTGATATACACAATCTCGGATTCAACAATTAGATATACGAGATATTCTTCAAGAGTAATATATTTTGATCGAATAAATTTAAAAAAAAAATAAGTGTACTTACAGGTTTAATATCACGGTGTAAAAATCCTACTGAATGTATGGATTCAATAGCTTTTAATATCTGCAGTCCAAGTCGTAAGGTTGTACTCAATGAAAATGCTCCACGAGGTTGCGCTCGTCGTAGTTCAGCAAGATTTTTTCCTTGTAGTTGCATAACAACATAATTAAAACGGTCATTTCGTCCACAACCTATAAAGCGGCAAACATGCTCTTTGCCTTGCAACTTCTTTAGAACGGCTACTTCCATTTTTAGAACTTGTTTTGGCTGACGTGCTGATTCTACTTTTAGCGCAACTTGTTCACGAGTTATCAAGTCTTGCCCTTCATAAATTTCTCCAAACCCCCCACCACCTATTTTTCGCACAACCTATGACAAAGGATCTTGAAATAAAAAAAAAATTATGTATTAATAAGATGACATACTTTCCATCGTTCTTTGACCACATGACCTGGTTGCAAAAGGTCTTCCGAAGTCATTTTAATATCTATTGCTTCAACAGGAAATTAAATGATAATATTGTTGGTTTTACTTTTATGAGCTATCCTTAATTTTCGCATCACATATATATTAAAGAAGCTGGAAGTTCTATTGTAATCTTAAAATATGAATTTTTCTGGCACAGCTGCTGTAGTCCGTCGTAATCGGTAGTACCACAAGCTGTTATGGCTTGGTTACGTAAGTGTCTGCTTTGATGCCTTTCTGGTTGCAATATAGTAACTTCATCTAAAATAAGAAAAAAACCGATGCTATAAAATTGTCTCTTTATATTCTCGCAACGTGTTGTACAGAGTATTATAGTTTTATTTACCTAACGGTTCCTTCTAAACTAATATAGAGTGATATAAAATATATATGGTACAGTGCCTCACAAAAGTATTCGAAAATTATATTTTGATAGTAAAAAGAATCCGAAAGGTTTTAACTGTGACTCAAAATATAAAACAATAATTGTTTTGAACAAAAACATGAATTTAAACTACTTTTACTATAAACTTGTTCAAACCAACACCAAAAAAGTATTCGGAAATTTAGTTTATATCGTAGTAGGCTTTTCAAAGGCCAGTTATTATTGCCTTCTTTCTAAGCCGTCAGTAGCAATTTATGTTGTCTGAACAAAAATTTAGAAGCATCCAGTCATTTTGTCTTTCTTTGAGAAAAATACCCTAAATTATGATAGATATCGGAAGAAACACAAAAGAAACTACATTCGAAGAAAGAATAAATATAGTTAAAAAAAGAAACTAAAAATACGCTTTTAAAGAATTTCAAACAAAAAAGTGAAAAAAAAATTCTTAATATAAACTGACAGTAATATTGACAGAAAAAGACTTGTCTTAAGCAAACCACACTTTTCGCAGAATACAATTTTCGGTCGGTTATTAGAATTATTTTTCACTTTTTAGTGTGAAGTGCTTTAATAACGTGTTTTTTAATTTTTTTAACAACGATCTCAACAAAACAACTGACTAAATTATAAATAAATAGTTTTTTTTTACCTGTTTTCCTATTGTCTATTAATATTTTTCCTAAAGACTATAATGTTCAACTACAACTTCTTGGTAGCAGTTGAAACCCCAGCAGCTAGTCAACCCCACTGGCACAGAGTTGAAATCCGTAGTACCGTAAAAAATTTGAACTTTGACGACACTTTAATTTCATTTTTTTACGGGATGTGTTAATGTTGATAGTACCGAATTTCAAAACTTCAACCAAAATGCATGTCGAAAAGAAAGAAAAACGTTTCAGGAGATGTCAAAATTAAGATGTCGTATTGAAACGTTTCAACAGTTCACAGTATTTTTCAGAAGAAATCGCCGAAATTGGGCAGCGATCCGAAAGGGCAGAAAAACTTCATTATTTCGACTTTGACCCGTTATCGTTAAGAAGATTTAAGAAAAGTCACGTACCTCAACTTTAGAAAGTAATCAAAGCCTCTCCCAGTATGCTGAAATACGTGCCTACGTGAATACGCTGGCTATAATGGGCGTACTCTACAAATAAAGCCGCTTATATGTGAAAAAAATAGAAGGAAGCGTTTGGAGTTCGCAAAAACATATGTACGTAAAGCTTGGTATCGAGTTTTGATCGAAATTAATTTTCAGTGCCGAAACGAAATTTAATATACAAGTATTGTTGTGCGAAAAGTGAATTCCGAAATGCACAAACAAAAAATGTGTTCGGTTAAGGACAGGGGTGGAAATGTAATAATATGGGGCAGTAGGTGCGCAAACGGTGTCGGAAACATGCAGTTTATCACTGAAAAAATTAATCGCCGGCAATATATTAAAATATTAGAAGATAATTTGAATGTTAGCGCCGATAAATTCGCAGTTACAGGTCATTATACAAACCGTAAAAACTTTTTTTTTAATCAATGCATTACATACATTTTTTTCTTGTATGGCAAATTTTATTTTATGTAATTAATTATTTTTAAAAATTATGGACCGTAGATGACCTCCATGCTCAGCCACGCATATGCGACACCTAATTAGAAAATTATTCATTGCGACCTGAAGGGTTGAAGCCGGGATTGCCTTAATTATCGATTTAATGGACTGCTTCAATTAAGTCAGATTTCTGAGTTTTATTTTGTACACCTCTTGCTTGACATAGCCCCATAAAAAAAATTTTGGTGCAGTAAGTTCAGGTGACCTTGGAGACCAGCGGAAAGTGGAGTTTCTTGATATTAATTTGTTTTTAAATTTTGGTTGGAGCTCCGCCATAACCGGTCTGTGTGCACTTGCTCCATCTTGCTGGAACCAAACGTTATTGAGAGGAATACGTCGTCGCAATTCGGGGTAAAAAAACTCATTCAAAATCTTTAAATAACAGTGCCCATTGGCAGTTAATGTTAATATTACATCTTTTTCTTCAAAGATGTATGGCCCGACAATACACCTTGATGAAACTGCGCCCCACACAGTGACTCGTTCTGGGGGAAGTTCGTCTCGTGGATTATTTCTGTATTTGATTTCCTCCATGTGGCATGGCAATTTTGCTTGTTTACATTTTCGTTTAGATCAAAATGGGCACCACACAGTGACTCGTTCTGGGTGAAGTCCCGTCTCGTGGATTATTTCTGGATTTGATTCACTTCATATATGGCAATTTTGCTTGTTTACATTTTCGTAAGGATCAAAATGGATCTCATCAGGCATAAACAGGCAATTTATCGACATGTTTACCAACCTCATAAGTCGGAGGAGTTCAAATTTAAAAAATAACCTGCCAAATAAAAGCAAGAAATAAGTTGATTACTCACACAGAAAAAAGTTGTTACGGTTTGTTTTTGTAGTATTTCAACAGGACAACGACCTGAAACACACAGCTCACAATACAAAACTTTGGATATTGCACAACACCTAAAAAGTTTTAGGAACGCAACCTCAGTCCACTGATCTTAATTCGATTGAGCTCTTGATAATGGATTGGGAATGAAATTTCTGCGAAGCGAAAAAAAAATTGTTTTTTTCATTTCTAAATACATTAAAGGAAGTTATGGATTAAAGATGAATGGATACGCTACCATATATTAATTAATTAATATATTAATTAGTTAAAATATCTAACTTTTGTTACGAATACTTTATGAATTCACCGAATTTTGCAGTTGAAGTGTTTTTACCTATGCTACTTTAAAATCAAAACTTAATTTCTAAGTTTAAATAAAAGTTAAAACTACGACTAGTATATAAGAAAGTCGTGTTAGTTACACTTACACAACCGATTAGGGTAAAAATTTGGGGGCATGTAGCTTAGAACCAGCGGCGGACATAGGATATTTTTTAAGTTTTTATGTTAAAAAGGAAAACAATTCCTAATACTATGTTCGCACCGACACAAAATTCGTGTTTTCATAGACAAAAGAGGTTTTCACGCGAAAACTTGTGTTTTCATCTATACAAAACCTGTCAAACGAAAACACAGTTTTCGCTGAAAACCCCTTGAAAACTTAAATTCCACTCATTATAATCGGTGCCTTCTCTAGTTTAATCGATATTATTAGAATATATATATACATATTTTGCCAGCCTTAAATGTCAGTTGACAATTTGTTTACATTCCATAATTGGCCTAAACGTACCCTACAAGAAACTGCTGATAGGTTCACCAATCCACTCACATTTTATGTGTCAGTACTGTTAATTTTCATTTGCATTTTTAAATTCAGAACCATCCACTGATTGGAGAAAGACGTACGCAGAGCTATTGAGAGGAGGAGATGGCATCAATTGAAAATTTATTTTTATATGTTATAATATTTTTGCTGCTTTCCTTTTTAAATTTACGTATATTATTATAAATAGTTTTGATTAAAAGTTTGAAATTTATTAAAGAAATAAAAATTATATTATCTACTGCGCAAAAGAATTTTTCACTTCTGATAGCGTTTCAGTCATAACTGACAATTTTCAGCTATGACGGATTTATGGTCAGCAATGACTCAGAAAAAGACATGAGAGTGAGCAGTACAGATATATAGTGAATCAATCCGAATACCCATGTGTTAAAGAGAGATGCAAACTCACACACATACGTTTGTTTACATCAGTTTTTGCACAAGGCTCTTAAGAAAATGATAGAAACTTTGTTCTGCGCGCTGACACAATTTTCTCAGCTATGACTATCATATTACCCATCAGACCGTCACTGTTCTTGTAGGGTACATAACAAATGTAAACAAATAGATGTGTGAACTGTCAATGAAAACTCATCGAAAACACACAATGTTGGTCAGAACGACTTTGGTTCCACAATCCACAAATTGTGTTTTCAAGAGGATTTCAATTCGGTGCGAACATAGTATAAATAAAAAATAATAATTTTTCAAATCATAAGCATGTGTTCAAAATTCATGTAAGAAGAATTTGATTAATTTTTTTACAACAAAAATAAAAAAACAGTACATAGCTACTGTAGTAGTAGAGTAAATTTTGTATATATTATATTTGGTATATATACTTACACACCATATATATTGCATTATACTGATTGTTGCTACTGAACATGGCGGTTTTTTTCCTGGAGGCACCAAGTGAAACCAGTAAGATATTTATAATATCACAACAGATAATCTCATTGACAGTTGCATCGCCAGGCATTGTGGTTACTTTGCTAGATTATGGACGAACGATGCACAGATATTCATAACAAACCAAAAGTAATATCTAACATACAAAAATAGCGGAATAGCTGCAGTGTTGATAAAAAGTTTAATTATAATTTGAGATAAATGCATATTGGCTCCAAAATATTCACAAAGCATTGCACGAATCAATGCAATATTTAATCGGCAACAATGAGTTTTCGGTGGTGCTGTTTTACCACTGTCTGGAGATTGCCGATAGCGCGGTCACCTTCGCTTTTCTTAAGCCAATGAGGTTATCGAATGTTGAAGCAATCGCTCTTATGGTGAAGTGTTGAAATACTTCGATGGACCATAAATATGCGCGCACAATTTCAAATTGTCTTAGCAGAACAAATATATTCCCAACTATTGCTTGATATTGGAAATGGTAGAATAGAACTTCTGCGCATTGTATGAAATTGCTACAGTTTCTACACTGCCCACGAAGAAATTGAGTAATTAAAAGTATTTTCCCGGCAATAAAAATGAATTACTTGGATCATAACTGGCTCAAGACTCGGTCTATATTTGCGGTCACAAGTTAGATATATATGGCGTAACTTGAATCTCCCTTAATTACAACGGTACATACATATTTGGTAATCAAAGAGAACTGGAGAGTTTAATGGAGAAATGTTCCTGTTTCCACGTATTCCAATGATACTGTCGGAATAAACGATTCCGTTCAGAAGGTTACAATTCCCTATTGCAGTGTGAGAAAACCATGCAATCTATTTGAGCTAAACCAAGAATATTATTTAATGAATAGAGCTGAATTAAATTGTATATAATTAAAAACTATAAATATTATTGTTAACAATTAAGAATGATCTATCTTGAATGTCTTTTTCATTAATCTTCGACATCGCTCATGTATACTCAGGAACATATTATATTTTCAAGCAATTTTATAAATAAATAACCAACACATTGAACGCCATATTCAGTAAAAGGTTTGTTAGAATAGCGAAAGTCATTATATGTTGTATAATATAATTTCAAAAATTTAACTCCATATCCATCTCGATTAGTTTAAAGCGATACAAACAGTTAGGTGAACAAAACTATTATACTCCGTAGCAACATATTGCAAGAATGTAAAAAAAGAAAAATCTTTGGACACATGTTCCTTAGAGCTCTGAGAGGGATGGGCAAAATTAAACCCTCAAAATGGCATTAATCCTTATAATCTAGTGTTAGTCCGCATTGCTTCACCGCCTGCAAAATTTAGTAAACATTTCCCTCAATGTTCATCACTTCTAGTGATGAAAAAGGGTGCATTCGAACGTGATGCTGTTGCAAGTGTTGCCAAAAATTCACGCAGAACGTGATACTTTGACAAATTTGCAACACTGCTGTCGTGATTGCCTCCTCGAACGAACCCAAAACAACGTTTTGACTGACGAAAAGGAAAAATATTGCACAAAGGACAACAACATTGCAGACATAGAGACTTGCTACACCCACCCAACACACGCATGAAATGTCATGCTATGCTGGGCAAATTCTGCAAAGCCCGCTTCCTTATGGCTGGACCTCTACTGAAACCATATCTTTGTCTAAACTCGAGTCAGCTCTCTTTGCAAATTTGTTTGTAACAAAACTTTGGATATGAGATACCTCGAGAGAACAAGTCAAAGTTTTGAGAAAATCTCTTCGATCAACATCTCTTGGCTTATACACATTCATACCACTCATGCCAAGGACTCTAAATAATAATACCATTAGTCATCTCCTTGTAAATGCAAATAATGTTGACCCAATAAAGATTGAAACAGAAGACACTGAGAGTCTTGCTATATAGTTGAGCTCCTTGGGATAGTGGAGGTCCGTTGTTGGCCACTGAACTGGAGTGGGGGAGCAGTGCGCGAACTAGGTGTTGGTTACACAGCCGTAGAGGCTTATGACGCTGTTGTGCGTTGACAACATGGGACCATATAGCTTGTGCCTATGAGTCTTAGGGCCGGAGTAAAATTTATATGGAGCATTTTTTGAACATGCAGCAGAAAAATTCCTCCTCGGAATCAATGCCAGCACGGACCAAGAGGATATAGAATATCAAAAAACTACAGCTGCTACCAAGAAGTTGTAGTTGAAATAACTGCATTTTACTACAGCATGGAAACGGAGAGTTTGTGGACATGTTCCTTCATCTCAATTAGTAAAAACAAAATGAATTCTTATTAAGAACGAACTTAACTTATGAATCTGCAAATAAAACATTATTTAAAAGCAATTTTATTGACAATAAAACTTTGGCTTACTTCGTGTTAGGAAGGGTGCGTTCGAGCTACAAATAATTGAAGCAGTACAGCCGATCCGCTGATGTGCAGACAAAAATTTAGTGTTGCCGATTATTTGCATAAATTGCGTGCAAAAAGTGACAGTAGAACGTGATGCTGTTGCAAGTGTTGCCAGAAATTCGCGCAGAAAGTGATACTTTGACAAATTTGCAACACTGCTGTCATGATTGCCATTTCGAACGCACTCGAAATTCCAATAAACTTGAGAGATCACGAAGATGTTTTCGTATGCACATCAGTTTCTTCCTCAACATTTTTGCCATCGCATTATAAATCAAAACTAATGTCCATTTTAATAAGTTTTCACCTTTTGGTGAGCAATAACTGAATTGAATTGTTTCAATATTTGCTTAAAAACTTCCAGCTGTCTTTTCTGTCAAATCTTCACTTTCAAGCTTGGCAACACCAATGAAACGTCGACTGCAAATAGTTGAAGTGCATAGTACCAAAAACGAGATTGGTTGATCTGAAGTTCTGTTCAACTGAGTGGAGTTGTAAACTGTAATAGGGGTATTAATCACATTTTGTTAATTTTTTTTTTGAATTTATCTCTATTAAAAACACAACAATAAGAAAATATGTTACGCCCTATCTTCATACCCAAACGATTTTTCCTTTAAACCAGGAAATGTAGTAAATATATTTGACCTGAAAAAGGTAGGTACTAGTAAAATATATCATTGGGACAGCTGAGGTACTTTTCACCCGAATACCATATACTCTAACTAACAAATCTTTTGAACTTGTAAATTTGACGACTACTACCTTACTTAAGAGCCCGACGTGAACGTTACAATATTGCGAATGTATCACTCTCCGTTGACATTTCGGCATACAGTATCTATGTAATAAAAGTACAGGGTGGTGCACGAACCGTGCTACAAAAACAAGTAAGGAAGGGCTAAGTTCGGATGTAACCGAACATTTTATACTCTCGCAAAGTCAAATGGTATACTCGTTTAAGATTTCTTTGTGGATTGGCTGATATTTTCGGTAGAAGGTCAACTATAGG